TTTTTTTTTTGAGAGTTTTTGCTATAGGGCATGTGTACTTGCCAGACAGACAGAGGGATACAGAAAGCGAGAAGTCACCCCCCGGGGGGATGGCCACGCCGCAATCCCTTTTCCTCCATTCTCCTCTCAGGATCTTGGGCACGTACTCACACACGCCCGGCGTGAGTTTTAAGCCACCGGGTCCGGGACACGAACTGCAGTTGACTACGTGGGAGTCCAGCAACATAGCCGTTACGCTAACTGCTGGTCCCTCTTTTCTCATTTCTTAAGTGGATACAGGTCATTAGCTAGTTCTCCTATTAACTATACTTGAAGATTCCATTCCGTAGTGAGTATATCAAATGGAGCAAACTGCAGTCTGCATTCCTCTTTTTGATTTAGGTTTTCCTACCCTGTCCCTATGCATTCATCATTTTTAGTCCCCCCCCCCAGTCCTGGATTAAAGTACAGTACGTATAACTTTCTTTCCCTTATTTTCAGAAACAAGTACTGTGTAATGTATTCCTTAGTCTACCTGTCCAAGAGCCATCCAAGGACTATTGTGAAATCAAATGACTAGGAGTCCAGTGGTGACCTAGATAGGCTTAAAACAGTACTGCACTCTTCAGGGCTCATGTCATGCACAGTTCTTGGGTTGCCTGGCCCATCTGTCCAATCCAAGGACTATTGTGAAATCAAATGACTAGGAGTCCAGTGGTGACCTAGATAGGCTTAAAACAGTACTGCACTCTTCAGGGCTCATGTCATGTCTTGGGTTGCCTGGCGTATCTGTCCGTCCCTATATTAGGTGATGGTCCACACTATCCCTGTGTAAGATGGAGGTGGTCCATGCTGGCCCTATATATGATGGTGGTGGTCCATGCCCTCCCGCTTCTATCTACTCCGAGAATCAGCACTGCTTTAGCTTCCCTCACACAGTCATCTTAAAGATGAAGGGTGGGAATGGCCCCATAGCACAGTTTAGCACTGTGCCAAGGGAGCCAGACCTCACAAGACTGACCATGTGCAAACCCTGACTCCCCTGGCAGTGGCATGACCAGGCCCCCTTGGGAGTTGCTTTCTCTCTCTCTCATATGCACACATTTGCACGTGTGTATCTCCTGGAATAAGAAAAAAGGGGGGCAAGATGAGGAGAAAACCATAAGAAAGGAAAGGTGGGTTCTTTTCTTCCTGCTGGTCCAGTTATTGAATAATAACTGAATTGAATTTGGCATTTATTCCACCTTGTGTTGCTGCTGTCAACACAAGTTGACAAGAACTTTAGGGTGCCCTGGGTTCTTAATAAATGGGTAACTCTAACAAAGTGGTGGCAGAAACTCATCATTGAGTGACACAGAGAGAAACTACTTCTACTTAGCAGCAGGGACCTCTTTCCTGAGCTGATCTCTCTATTCAGGTTCAGTTTACCAAGAAGCCCAGGTTGCTTCTCATAAAGGTACAACTAACATTTATCACTTACTGTGTGCCAGACACAACACTAAGTGCTTTAATAGGGATTAAGTCCTAAAATCCTCATGCTTCTGAGCTAGCTATGATTATCCCCATTTTATTTATTTTTTAAAGAAGTATTTAATTTTTATTCATCATCATCATCATCATTATTTTGTGACTGGAGAAAGAAAGAGAGAGAGACAGAGACAGAGACAGAGACAGAGAAAGCAAGTTAACCAGATCCAAGACTTGAGCTGCGGTCAACATGTTGGGGTCCAGCACCTTAATCACCACACCACCTGCCAGCCCAGTTATCCCCCATTTTAAAAATAAGAACATAAAGGCACAGAAGGGACAAGCAACTTGCTTGAGACTATGTGGCTCGCAACCAAGCAACATCATGGATGGTTTATTTCATGCTAAGCACCACTGCAAATGCCACGTATCATCTCATCTAACCCTCCAACAATCCCAAGAGGAGGTAAGTGCTCCTACTGTCCTCTTTTGACAGATAAAGACAGGAAATGTAGAGGACCCGGATAACCTGCCCAGAGAGTAAGTGGAGGGACTAGGACTAAACTAAAAGGTGAACTCCAAGAGGCCTCGCTCCAAACCATTTAGTGGTCCTGTGAGGTGCCAAGTTTCATTTCTTCCCATCTCCCTGACTGAAGGCCCATTTCTTGAGGTCTCCCATGATTAGACAGCTGAGGTTAGAGTGGCCAGGGAATTTAGAGGGTGAAGTCAACTGCTTTTTCTCCTTTAGGAAAATTTTCATGAGAAAAGTTAAAAATTATTAATTATTATAGGGGCCAGCAGGTGACGTGGTGGTTAAGGCGCTGGACTCCTACATGATCGACCACAGTTTGAGCCCTGGACCTGGCGGCTTGCTTTCTTACTCCCCCAACCCCCTCTCATTTTGTCCCTCTCTGGTCAAATTTAAATAAATGAAAGAGAGAAAGAAAGAAAGAAAGAAAGAAAGAAAGAAAGAAAGGAAGGAAGGAAGGAAGGAAGGAAGGAAGGAAGGAAGGAAGAAAGAAAGAAAGTTAAATAA